TCACTGGACTCCCACATAGCTGACCACGGTTCAAGTCCCAGACCTGGCGGTTTAAGCTCACACCAGGCATGTGTGCATGCGTGCCCAAAATCCTGAGAGGAAAATGGAAGAGAAGGGATTGCGGCATGGCCATCCCCCCTAGGAGGTGATTTCTCGCTTTCTATCTCTCTGTCTCTCTCTGTCTTTCTGGTGGGCGTACGTGCCCTATAGCAAAAAAAAAAAAGTTTTTATAATGATAATGACAATGATATCAACCATTGGTTTCCTTAGTTTTTATATTTCCTCAACACTTGTTCATTCTCTGCTGTGTCACAGCCACACTACATAGTTATATGTAATTCTAATCTGTTTCCTCACTTCCCATTTTTCTTCATACCACTGCTAGTTGCCCTCTGCTCTCTCACATTCACCTGTTCACTATTGATCATCTACATGCCAAATCTTACAGATGTCTCTACATCTTTATTTTCTCTTCACTCCTCTGGGTCACTTGACACTGATGAAAAAAAACCTGTACTCTTCCCTTTGGCAGTATTTATTCTGATTTGCCGTTTGTATCCCCCTTCCTCTCACCGTGCTTCAAATATTGGTGTTCCTAGTTTTTGCTGCATTCTGCATTCTGGGTGACCTCCGCCATTGTTTATATATTGGTGACTCCTTTATTCCCATTCCAAGTCCATATCTTGCCAATGAAGTATAGATCACTTAGCCAACTGCCTTTCTGAAGTATGTATTTTTAAAGATCTCATTTTTTTATTCTTTTTTTAAAAGAATTATTTTCATTTAACTTTATTTAATTATTTATTTATTTTAATTTGACCAGAGAGGGACAGAGCGAGAGAGAGAGAAAGTGAGAAAGCAAGCCACCAGGTCCGGGACTCAAACTGTGGTCGGCCATGTGGGAGTCCAGCGCCCTTAACCACCACACCATCTGGAGGTCCCGATAATGTTATTTATTTATTTATCTTAATTTTTTTAGGAGAGGTTTTTGCTATAGGGTACATGCGCTCGCCAGAATGACAGAGAGAGAAAGAGAGACAGAAAGTGACAAATCACCCCCCAGGGAGGATGGTCACGCAGCAATCCCTTCTCCTCCATGGGATCTTGGGCACGCATGCACACGTGCCGGGTGTAAGTTTAAGCCACCAGGTCTGGGACTCAACCGTGGTTAACTACATGGGAGTTCAGCGACATAGCCATTACACTAACTCCTGGTCCCTTTATTTTTTCTTTATTCTTGATAGAGTGTGTGTATGCACACATGAGAGCCAAATAGGGAGATCAACAGATGGAAAGAAAATGGGCCCCCAATGGGGCCTGATTGTGCTGCAGTCTTCTTCCTCTGGTTATTTATCCTGTTAGGATACTAGCTGTGTGCACATGTTCCTGGTGCATTGCCACTGGGGCCAGGATTCAAACCCCAGTCAACCATGTGCACAGCATGGATGGGGCTGGCTAAATATTTCATTTCACCAGTCCAGAACTGAGCTCCTAGTCAATACTTTATATCTTTATGTCTTATCTTTCTCCATGTTTACTTACCTACTCCATTTATATATTCCATAAAGTTTTGTTGAACCTCTACCTGTGTCAACTACTTCAGCTAAGTACTAAAGACAAAGTGATAAATACGAAAGACATAGTTATCGCCCTGTGGAATTGTACAGCCTAATGAGAGAGATAGACATCAAATAATTACACAAGTTATTATTTAATTATGATTGTAGTGGCCAGTGGTTGGTGCACCAGCAAGTCACAATTCTTTGTGAGGCTGACCCACATGGAAAGGTTCCAGGTTCATGACCAGAGACCTCCCCTGAGAACACCAGGGCTGGCTGTAGTGGGGGGTAAATTGTAGTATCAAGACTCTGTTTGAAGTGCTGTCTCTCTCTTTCTGTCTGTCTCTCTCTTTCATGGAAGAACTAAAATATTTTTTAATTAAAAATAATTATGATTATAATGATTTCAGTGAAGGAAAAGCAGGAAGTTTTATGTCAGGTGCCTTAGGCATTATAGATATAACCTTCTCCCTTTGTAAATTGTACCTCCTTTGTATCTCACCAGTCCATTTAAGAGGGACTTCATAGAAAACCCACTTTTTCAGATCAGGCCCTCATTCCCTGGATTGATATAGTGACCTTTTAAACCTTTCTCCCAGTCTAAATCCCCCTATTTTCACAGTGAATAGGATCATGCCAGGAATCTGAGCCTCTCAGCCAGATCTGTGCATTGACTCTAATCATGCCTTTCTTCTAAAGAAATCTTGTGATAGCATTGTTCTAACTTCTGGGTAAAAGTCAGGTATGCCCCACAAAACCCCTTGTGGTATAGCCACTCTATCCTCAACACCTTCATAGGAAAACTAATTTCAAACTACACCAAGCTCCTTGCTTCTCCTTAAATGTTTTATCTTCTCTGTCCTGAAGCCTTTGTACTGCTCTCATCATTTTCAGTGCCTCTGTAGTGGGACTTAGTAAAATTCAGAAAGGTCAGAAGACTGTGATGTCTTCACTGTCAGTTAGGCATCTTCTCGAGAGAAGATTCTACATTTTCTCTCTTTATTTCTGTTGTGGTGTGTGGCACCTGACAGATACTTAATAATGTGGGTGTTTATATAATGAATGAAATGACATTAGGCCTAGATTATAATATAATATTTCCATGTTCATTCAATAAGTCATAGGTTTGGGTTTTCAAAAAGCAGCTATGATTCTTCCAAATTTTTGCTTTAGAAGGGCAGACGGGGAATGCTATTTATAATTTTTTAAAAATAAAAACGAGTATGTGGTTATATCTAATGCTTCTCTTTAAATTACAAGTTTAGTTCTTGTTCTGAATTTACTTTTATTGTATTTTTCCTTCTGCAGTTTCTCTCTTTACCATCAAATTTCTCCCTACATGTTCTAAGAACCAGCAAGTAAGGTAGTGGCACATGACTTGGGCTTAGATTGAGGTAGCTGGATTCAAGAAATAAGCTTTGGGCCAGCAGGTAGTGTGATGGTGAAGGTGTTATACTCCCATAAGGCCAGTACAAGTCCTGGATCTGGTGGTTTGCTTTCTCACTTTCCCTCTCTCTCTGTCTCTCTCTGGTGAGCACAATGCCTTACAGCAAATTTAAAAAATTAATAATTATAATAAATAAAGTTAAATAATTCTTTAAGAAAAGGAAATATGCTTCATTATCATTTAGATCCCTAATTGTTGAACCAATTTTAACAAGGAATACTTTTCCTTGTTCTTGAAGACCCAATATTCTGATTATTACTGATTGAATCTTCTTTAACCATAAGACCTATTTGGAGAAAGGTCACATAATTCAGACCTCCTCAAAAAGTGACTCCCTAGATTTAGAGGTACTAGATAGTCTACAGGGTTTGTTCAGATGGTAGAAACTAAGGCTTTACCCGAGGTATATTGAATTATAGTCTCTGACAGTGGGAACCACAAGTCCTCATGGTATTGAGCTCTCCAGGCTATTTCGATTCACTGAACTTACATTACTGCTGATATGGTGTTTAAAAAGTCAGCTTCTTTATTAAGATAATTTTGAGTTCAAATATTGGTACTGTCACTTACTAATTGCATGTCTTTGGCAAATTAAGGATTTCTCAAGCAGACGTATCAGAATCCTAGATACTAGAGAGAAATCTCTTATCCCAGAGCCTAGAGTACCTGTTCACCAGGTGGCGTAGCCCCAAGACAGCAAAAACCCAATATATACTCACAACAAAACTGGCTGCTTCTAATCCTGACCATGCCCAGGTGTTTCAAAGTGCTTTTATTTTTTTTTTCTTTCCACTTCTTTTACATTAGTTTAGTTTAAAATAACTAAGCTCATTCATTTTTATGATCAAAACATCTGGGAAAAACCAGGAGTTTCTATTGCATTTTTAATAGGGTAAGTGAATTTAATCCTTATTTCCTGCAGCTGCTATTTCCCCTCCTACTGAGTTCTTGGGCATTCATTCCACACCAACACAACATGATTTCTTCGCATGGTTTTTAAGAGTAAGCCTTCTTTCCATTTTCAGGCAGCTCACCAGGAATCTGTAATTCTACAAGGTGTGTAAGCACAAATGAGCAAATAAGGTCTTAGTCAAGGTGACCTGGGGAGTTCAAGGCCAGAGGCTGAGATAGGGCAAAGAATTTCCAATGAAAAGATTCAGAATTTGCTTTCCTACTTCTCCCACCATTCACCTCTCTAAATCAAATGGGCTTGCTGCTTTATGAATCATCTGGGAGGAGCTCTCCGTGGTGCTGACACATGGATGTCACTGCTTCTTTTATTTGTATTATAATTGTTGCTATAGCGTACCTGTATTCGTGCTTTATTGTGGCCCCAAATTCCAAATTCCAGGTTGAGTATCCTTTTCTACATATCAGTGATTTTCAAATACAATTTTATTTTATTAGCAGCAAAACTTTCCTTATCTTTTGCTCCTAAAATAGTTTATAGAACTTTTAGTATGGACAACAGATTCACATGCTGCTGTCTGACTACAGCAGAGTTGGTGACCCAGAGCCCCACCCATTGCCCATTCTTCCATGCCACCTTTCTTGTAATCTTCGTAAGTCTGAATATTATAAATAAAAGTGGGTAAACCACTACACTATAAAGTTAAAAACCATAAATGAAGACCCAAAACCAAGATTGGTTTTTATTCTTTTTGTGTGTGAGTTTATTCTTGCAAGGTTGTATGTCTTTGTTGGCACTAACATTAACTTTCAGATATATAAATAAAATGAAAGTGGATGAATCTCTGGAAGCCTTGGAAAACTATACCCACCGAAGCCTCTTATACCTGTCTTGCTGTCACTTAGCAGGGAACAGAAATCATAAAGCTTGTAATTTATAGCCTTAGTCTGACAGAATTGTTTAACATTGACTATAACTCAAGCTTTTTCTCAACCATTGCATAAGTCATGATAATTACTCAGGGTCCCAATGGGCAGAGAGAGATGGAGATCTGCTGCCTTATAGGCCTTTCGTCTTCTTACAGGACATGCACATCATCAGTACAGATGAGAGCCAAGTGTTTGCAGCAGTCCAAGAATGGAACCAGAATGACACGTACAACCTTTACATCTCAGACACCCGTGGAATCTACTTTACTCTGGCCATGGAGAATATTAAGAGTAGCCGAGGTCTAATGGGAAACATCATTATTGAATTGTATGAGGTATGTAGCCAAAGTTGGCCCTCCTCTGTATCTGTCTCTCTTTTTCATTAGTTTTAGTGGTTTTGTCATAAACATAATCACTGGAGTCCTGAGTTCAGATCCCAGCTATACCTCATAGAAATTGTGTGGCTTTGAGCAAGGGAATTAACTTTCCTATGCTTTGATTCCCGTAAAATGGAGACAACATATTTACCTGATGAGATTATAGTGAAATAAGAAATAAAATAATTAAAACATCTAGTTGGTGGCTGACTCAATAAACTTGACATTCTTGTATGTATAAGCCAGGCGTGAAGGTGTTGGTCCAGCTGATGTCTTAAGTAGTTTTTCAAACTCTATGCTTCTTTTTATGATCTCAGGGTAGAGAGAGTAGTGCTACTTATGTTCCTTAAATTATTTAGAAAATTATTTTTTATTGTTATTTTTTTTTTATAGAAAGTGAGTTCATATGAGGGGTGAAAAAGAGAAAGAATCACCCTCAACAAGGTCTTATTATACCACAATTCTCTTTCTACAGCCTTCCACCTCCGGAGGGCCCACACACACATTTGACATTTTTTTCAGGCCCAGCTGGGGATCCAAAATCATGGTCTGCCTGATGACTTTGAAGCAGAGCACTTGCATTACTGTTTTGCCACAGCAGCTGGGCTAAAAATCATGTCTTATAATACATTTTATAGGAAAAGAAAAGTAAATATTGGTGGCAAGGGTGAAGGTTTCCCTAAGATGTCACCAGATGCCATCATCTATTTAAGGTGAAGAACTGGCCTTCATATGAATAGGTAACTTACATTTTTTTCTTTTCTTTTTTTAAATTTTTTATTATCATCATAATCTTCTTTATATTACAGTGGATTACATATAACTTTACAGTGTATTACATTGTTTTTTCAAAAGGGAATGCCATGCATGTCAGTCAGTACAGAGACATTAATCTCCCCACTTCAACATTCAATATTTTTTCTATGTTTTCCCCAATCATTATTTTTATTATTCTAATTATTTTTTAAAACAGTCAATCGCTTTTTCTCATTTTGCTTGTAAAAATACTTTGCCCATCACGAAATACTTCTCAGACCAATCCAGCTGAGAATACTATACATGTCATTGTTTGTTTGTTTGTTTGTTTTTAATATGATCGATCACCAGTTCAAGAACTGTTTATCTATGAAACTGGTGATGTCACATAGAAATCAAGAAAAAAAACTAATTTCAGTGACCCTAAAGATGTGTCAGTTTTTAATACTCTTAGTGACAGTGTCTGACCTTTGATATTCCTTGCCACAGTGAAAGGACTTGACCGAGCACCTGATTATGATGGATTGATTTTATGAAAGGTGTGTCTCATTACCTAGCATTCTCTCAAGAATGGTGCTCAAACCTATACAGGCTGTGATAGTGGAAACAATTCATGGAAGAATAAGATGTTGCTTCTGGGTAGTGGCCTCAAATGGCCTGGGTGGGCTGCTCCCTGATGGGTTTTCCTCTTTGAGGAGTGGGCGTGTCTTCCAGAACAGAGGGGACATTGCATGTTTCTGCTTTGCAGTGATCTCGTCTGAGCAGTGCCTGTCAAAGTTCAAGTATCCCTACACCACTGTCTTTGTTGACTTCTCAGTTACTGAAAGTGGTGGAAAACTTTAAGGTTGTTGCTATTTAGTGAGATACAGGAATGATAGCACAAAGGTTTGGGGTGAATGACTTTACATCTGAAAGGAAAAAAAAATAAAGGAATGAATGTCACTGGGTAGATAACATAATCAGTAGAAATACCCTGATTTCCTAGGAGGTAACTAATGAGTGCTGAAATTATTTCCTTTAACAAGGTCCCAGTTTTGAAAATGTCTCAAATTTCTTCTTAGTGTAATGACTGATAGAGATGACTAAAGGTGTACATAGCTTTGGGAAATTTGCATTTCAGAGACTCTAATCATACTAAGAGATAGAAATGCACCATTGTTATTGGGCAATATGTCACATCTTAGAATGTTTGGATGGATGTTCCCAGGACCGAGGCCATTTCTTGTTCTTATTTGTACAAATAAGGCTATAGAGGGCAGGTGGAGTGGTGGTTAAGGGCACTGGACTCCTGCATGGCCAACTGTGATTCAAGTCTCGGACCTGGTGGCTTACTTTCTCATTCTGTGTGTGTGTGTGTGTGTGTGTGTGTGTTTGTGTGTGCGTGTGTGTGTGTAAACCACTCTGGTTGAATTAAAATACTTACATACATACATATATAAATAGAGTTAAATAAAATAATCCTTAAAAAAATAAGGCTACAGAGATAAGAGGATTATTCATGCTCCTATGGCCAGACCAAAACAGGAGAGAGTTGACATTGCTGCAGATAACCTTACAATTGAGAAATCCCTATTTCTTTGGCCCTCTTGGTACAGTGGATGAGTATGCCACTGTGCTGTTCCTCTTCTAAGAAAGGGAGCCTGAAACTCCTTGGTCATTAAGAACAGTGAGACATTGAGATCTAAAGTGAGGCATGAATCAAAATGAAGAATGTTCCCAGATACATGTAATTTTTTTCTTCTTGTTGAAGTTGGTCTTGTGTTTTCAGTCTTACTGGGGTAAAACAAAACACATGGTGCCATTGCATCTGGACAAATTTCTTTAGAGCTTGCTCTGTTGAGCTTTCTGTTCAATTTTACCAGAGTTGGTTGTGTCCCTTCTTTAATTCTATGAGGAAGGCAGGATGAATGAGATATGTTTCTTTCCCTCAGGAAGCTTGCAATCTGGTTTGCTGGATTTTAAGGGGTCAGTAAACAGAGTTCTTTTATTGTCTACCCAAGACTAGAACCAATTGAGACAGAGTCAAGGGGTGAGAAAAAGGAGATTAAACACAACTTTGTTGCTTAAAAAAGATTATTTTTTTCTTTCATGGGAAGGGAAGAGACATGCACTTTTTATAAGACCACACTGTGATCTTCACCTAGGCTTCCAGTCAGCCAGTACCACAGCCAGTGTGCATCATGACATATTCAGGCCACCCTGGAACTTGAAACCTGGGCCTTCCCGTATGTCTCCAGCATTGTACAACAGCACCCTACTATCCATACCCAGTTTTGTTGCTTTTAAAAATTATTTGGGGAGCGGCCTTCGGTTAGCATAATGGCTATGTTGCTGGACTCCCATGTAGTCGACCACTGTTCGAGTCCTGGACCCAGTGGCTTAAACTCACGCTGAGTGTGTGTGCGTGCGTGCCCAAGATCCCAAGAAGAGAATGGAGGAGAAGGGATTGTGGCATGACCATTCCCCCTGGGGGGTGATTTCTCACTTTCTGTCTCTCTGTCTCTCTCTGTCTGTCTGGTGAATGCATGTGCCCTATAGCAAACGACTCTCAAAAATAAGTATTTGGGGCACCAGCAGTTGGCATAATGGGTATGTTGCTGGACTCCCATGTAGTCGACCACTGTTCGAGTCCTGGACCCAGTGGCTTAAACTCACGCTGAGTGTGTGTGCGTGCGTGCCCAAGATCCCAAGAAGAGAATGGAGGAGAAGGGATTGCGCCATTGCCCCCCCTGGGGGGGGGGGTGATTTCTCACATTCTGTCTCTCTTTCTCTCTCTGTCTTTCTGGTGAGTGCATGTGTCCTATAGCAAAAAACCTCTCCAAAAACAAACAAACAAACAAAACAAAAACCAAAGAAATTATTTGGTAAGAAATGGGATTGCTAATAGGCCAGAATTAGATTGATCCATCCAGATATGGGCAGAAATGGTAAATCAAAGGGTTTTCTATAGAAGACTGTTTCTATAACTCCATAGCATTGAGGTATAGCACATGTGATCTTTGCAGGCAGGTCCCAAAAGAGAGAGGAGAAGATGAATGTGCATGCCCAGTTCTTTTTCTTTTCTTTCTTTTTCTTTTTCTTTTTTTTTTTTTTTCAGTTACCAATCTGATTATCAATGTTTTTGCCCTGGGGAGGATAGAGTGAAGAAATGGGAGACATCCCAAATACTAAGAATGACATGCGCCAAGGATTGGACAGAGGGTGTAGATTTCTGAGAAAATGAGCTAGCCAGTCTAATTGTGCAGAATGGATGCTTGTCAGGGACGAGAATGTGGGCTGGATAAGTAACTGGATTTTAGATCCTGGAAGGCATTTAATACTAAGTAAATAAATTGGAGCTTGACATTATCTAGACTATAGCCATATTGAAGATATTTAGAGGGCAAAGCTGTTTTGTACCTGGAAAGACATTCTCTGGTTCGAAGGTAAAGCTCAATTTAATTGGACTCTAGGGGTCATTAGAATTTAACCTTCTTTAATTGAGATTCTCATAGAAACTGAGATTGTGTACCATATGGTCAGTTAGCAAAGAGACTACAATTTTTCTGGACTCTAAGTGCCCTTGAGTAATGCAGCTGGGAAAAACAGTAAATTTTCATATTCATTTCAGCTAAATTAACATACTTTCAAGGACTGTATTTTGTTTGATAATATAAAGACTGATGCATTAAACTTATCCCATCTAGTGGAAGAATAAACACAATTATATATATATATATATTAAAAAAATAGAATATATAAATAAAACTAGAAATCACAGTCTAACTTGTATTAGAGGTGTGAGTCTACTATGTTGTTGAATTCCTAAAGGAGAAAGATAACTCTAGCTTGAGGAATATGGAGAGACTTGTAGGTAAGTTGACTTAAGTGATGAATTGCCTGAGATACGAAGAAGAGAACCAGAGTCAGATGAGTGGAGGCCCATTTTCCTGGAATATTAGATGCCCTTGTGGAGTAGAGGAGATAGAGATGGTAAAGGTATCTGTACAGAACTTAACCTAAAGAGTTGGACATTTATTACATAGGTTAGTATTGCTATCTTTCTCTCCCACATTTACATAATGTTGTAATCTATTTGGTTGCTGGGTAACATATAAAAATAGAACTTTATTTAGCTCATGGTTTGGAGGTCCAAGATCTAGGAGCCCATCTGGTGAAGGTCTTCTGGATGCAGTACCACATAATCCAGGGCAGGAATCCAT